TGCGACGCCTGTCTCGCATTTGCAAGCTTCGCAATTGCGAAGCACCTGTCGCAAATGCGACATCTGCAACTGATCAAAACATGACTTAGACGGAATTTTGAACTCATTTCTCAAATTTTCAAACCCTAAGCTCCCATAGGCGATTTTTCAAGGGAAATTGGGTGTTCTTGGGTAGAATTTCGAAATTTGGGGATTTAGACCTCAAATTGAGGTCGGATTTCAAAACCAATTGCATATTTGTACTCGTGGGTGAATGGGTAGTCGGGTTTTGGTTCGAACTTCGAGTTTTGACCAAGTGGGCCCGGGGTCGATTTTTGACTTTTTGGGGAAAACATTGGGAAATCTATACTCATGCATTAGAATTGGTTTATTTAGCGTTAATTGATGTTAATTAGTTAATTATGCTTAGATTCGGGCGGTTTGGAAGTGGAAATCAAAGGAAAAGCGGTAATTGAGGCTTGATTTTTGGCCGTGGAATCGAGGTAAGTGTTTGGTCTAACCTTAGCTTGAGGGAATAGGTGTTGTTGTCTTATTTGCTACGTGTTAGTGTTGGGTACGACGTATAGGTATGGTGACGAGTATCTATACGTTGATGTTGAGCATGCAAGTGAGTCTTAAACTGTGACCGTTGTGTTTCTTATTGTGTACTGTTCGCGCTTAAACTGATGATTCTCCATGTTGAACAAGTTTTACGATGTAATTGTTGAGTATTGACTCAAGTTGAGACTTACATTGTGAATTTAACTGTTGAAACGAGATTGATTATAGCTGATTCCCTTGCCGGGATGTTATTGTTTCTATTCTTTGGGTGAGAAAGAGTGTAAAGCACGAAGGGTGATGCCGTGCACGATATTGTGAGAGAGTGTTAATGCACGAAGGGTGATGCCGTGCCATAATTCTGTGAGTGTTAATGCACGGAGGGTGATGATGTGCCATGATTATGAGAGAGTTAATGCATGAAGGGTGATGCAATGTCGTTTCTGTTGATTTTATGGTGAGGACGAGAGAAAAAGCACGAAGGGTGATGTCGTGCACGTGTTACTGTGTTATCATTTCTGTTGGTTCAAAGTTTGACATTTACCTTGCTTCTTTAGTTTATTACTGTTAGAATTTGATATTCTCCTCAGCATGTTCCCTTTCCCGTCTTTATCTGTTAAATTTCTGTTATTATTGTTTCTCGTATATGATTTAACTGCACATGTTATATTGTTGTCGTGTCCTAGCATCGTCACTACTTCGCCGAAGTTAGGCTCGACACTTACTAGTATATGGGGTCGGTTATACTGATACTGCACTCTGCACTTTCTGTGCAGATTTCGGTGCCGGACCTCGTGAGTAGTGTTGAGGTTGCTGCCTTCAGTCCAGGGAGACCCAAGGTAGATCTGTCGGCATCCGCAGACCCTGGAATCCCCTTGCTTCTATTTTGGATTATTTATCTCTTTCCATTTCGAGAACAGTTGTAATTCTTTTAAACCAGTATTTGTAGAACTTCTTAGACGTTTGTGAATTGTGACACCAGATCATTGGGGTAGACATGTATTGGAGTTTTTGAGCTGTTATAACACTTCCCACTTTATATCTGTTTAGCTTTGGTTATTGTTAATTTCTGTTTGGGTTAATTGTTAATGAGTTAAAATCGTAATTGTTGGCTTGCCTAACATTCAAGAGTTAGACGCCATCACGATCCCGACGGTAGAAAATCCGGGTCGTGACAAACATAAACTGCTACAACTCCAAAATACTCTTGCTCCCTTTGTTCAGTCAGAAGACTGTTCTTTTGAAAAAGACTTTTTACTCCCGTCCAACAAGAGAGGTAAAGCCTTTCTACTCAAATGAGACGCACTCCCATAGTCTCGCTCGAAAAATACTTTTAACAAAGAACACATATTATAACAAGCAGAATTATTGAGTTTGGCCAATTAGGCTCTCACCCAAATAAGCAATAATTCAGATAACATCCACCTAAGTAGTCATCTTCTCACAGCAACTTTAAAGATAAAGAAAAATAACACTAATACACATGGATATATATACAATAACTTCTAATAAGAACGGGGAATCATATTTAGGACAACATTGTTGAAAATTTGATCTATGTACCAGCAAATCCAACTCTTCATCAATAACAAATAGATAAACATATTACCAATATCGGCCAGGGTGACCGAGTTGATTGAGCAGGAGATCCCCCAAATGAGAGGTCGCAGGTTTTGAAACCTCATGTATGCTTTCTCGGTCGAGCTTGTCCCACGGGGCTTGTTTAGTGCGATTTACCTCCCCAATGTAGCTTGCGAGCTATTGCATCGGAGCGGGGCTTACACAGAGCGCACCCGAAGGATAGTGACTGCGAGTATCCTAGTTCAAAAAATAAATAAATAAATATATAAATAAGTAAATAAAGGGTTGAGATGGATATATAAGACTCATCCATTAGAGATTTTGAGTTTGAGTATTAGGAATTAATTTAATTCTTGATAAAAAATAATTTTCCATTTAACAAACTTTACACGGTACAAATATGGATTAATCCAGGGTCAATGCGAATACTGACACTGAGTGGGAAAAAAAAAATAACAGATGAAATGTAGACAAACTTTTGCACCGTCTTAAAAAAAAAAAAAAAAAAAACGTGTTTAGTCAAAGAAAAAGAGCGAAATAGAAGATAGAAGTATTAGATTAAAACACCGTCGTACGATACATGTTAAAAATAGAATCATTCCATTATTCTAACTATTTGACTTCACCGTTATACATTTTTTTGGAATCACCATGTCTCCCAAATTATTGGATTACACCTAATTTCTTTCTTCTTTTAAGAAAGAAAATTATTCCATTAATTATTTAATTAACATAACTATTACTAACTAGGTTTGACAATTGTGTTCTCAAAAATATTCTTTTGATTGGTTTCTAACAAAGTTCATAACTTTGAGCCTTTGTAGCAGCTGAAGTTTTTTTAAAAAAAAATTATTTCTATGAAACTTCTGGACATTATTACTTAATGGAATAAATGAATGATTTTCTTACCTTATGAATTAGATTTTTCAAGGACTATTTATGCTATAGAATAAATGCAGATTCTGTAAAAACTACTAGTATTTGAAAATGGGTAGAAAAAATACAGCTTATCTTGAGAATTTTTCTTCACAAGAAAACTAAGTCGAAGTCGAAGTTATTTTCCGGTCAACTATTCACCCAGTCAAGTGCAAAAAAATAGTAGAATCACGCAATGCACGCAGGGGCGAAGCTATTTTGGTTGAAGGGTGGTCAACTGACCACCCTTCGTCGAAAAATTATACTACGTATAAGGTAAAATATTACTTGTTATTGATTAAAAACAGACTTTGAACACCCTTGAATAGCCCACTAGCAAAGGGTGTTCAAATTTGAACACCTTTATTGAATTTCCTGGCTTCGCCACTAAATGCACGCTACTAGTGTGCTTCCTGCTCGTGAACAAAAAAAAGAAGAGCGACATGACTCAATTAGATTAAATTATTTGCAGCATGGAAATTAAATCTATTTTAAGAAGAGAAATACCTAAACTATTGTTTATATATTACCATTTCTATATATAGAGAAAGAGTACAAGAAGATGCTATATATTATGACTTAGATTCGGTATGTAACATGTGATCTGAGTTTTTTTTATACTTCAAATTATAAATAATTGTAACTTGTACTAATTAAACCACCACTTTACTTACAGATTAAAAAAAATGTCATTATTCTGAAAAAGGTGTAAACACAATAGATAAAATGTCTCCATTTCTAATTGGTGGGATGGAAGTTCTAGAATATATATGATTGAATTCATGATTATTTTTGCAAAATTGGAAGTTTTTTTTTAAAAATATTTATAAGGTACTAATTTTGGAGAGTTTAAGATCTTTGATCATGTCTTTGAAAATAATAAGTGATTCTGAATAATAGCATACATGCATAAGCTATTTTTCTGCGGGAAATTAGTAGCTTCTCCTTGGAAGCAGAAGAGAGAAACATAAAAACAATTATATTATCAGATAAAAATGGAAAAATTAACACTGTATAACCGCTCTCAAAATAATAACCAAAAAATGTATAATTTTTTGTATGTTATATACAGAAATTATATAAATTTTATACACTTTTTCGGTTAAAATAGCATGGGCTAGCCAGTTTTCGGATTGGTCATTTAAAAATAGCCAGCGTTTGCAAAGTCATAGAAAAATAGCCACTATTTTGCTACAACAGGCACCGGTCCAGCATAATATACTGGAGATCGGTGCATCTGTGTATAAACTTCTAGCATATTATGCTGGAACTCCAACACGCGGAACTCCATTGTAATATGCTGGAGTTCCAATATACTTATGTTGGAACTCCATTATAATATGCTGGAGTTCCAGTATGCTTATGCTAGTACTCCATTATATTATGCTGGAGTTCCAGTATGCTTATGCTAGTACTCCATTATATTATGCTGGAGTATTTTTCGGATTTTAAACAATGTTTTCGTTCAGATTTAACTTACATGAAAAGTGGCTAAATTTCGATTACTTTTGAAACTGTGGCAATTTTTAAATGGCCACTTGTAAATCTGGCTATTTTTTAATTTCTCCCACTTTTTTGACTACCAAATGTAAATAATTTCTGGCGCGGACTAAAAGTGAAAAAACTCTTATAAATTAAGACATGCACATAGGGGTGATTGAAATTAACGGGAGAATAATTGCTTACCTTATTACACGTTATAAATAAATAATACACAACGTGCATGGCATGGCACAATTAGCTTAGCATGCCATGTTATCAATATATAAAGAGAAGAAATTAAACTTGCATGGCATAGCAGTGGTGATTACTGGATTCTGGTTATTTTTGCAATAGTGTCTAAAGTACAGTGTTGTGAGTAAGTTCTTCTTTTTACGCTTTGTGTTTATTTTCTTATATTTTGATTCGCCTTAGTGAAAATCTTGGCTCTGATACGGGACGTATTTCCTTTTTTCAGTACAGGGAAAATGGCGATAAGAACTGTGGATTTTCGATCAGACACAGTTACTAAACCAACTGAATCCATGCGTAACGCAATGGCCAATGCAGAAGTAGATGATGATGTCTTAGGTTATGATCCAACGGCCCAACGCCTCGAGGCAGAGATGGCAAGAATCATGGGCAAAGAAGCAGGGCTATTTGTTCCTTCAGGAACTATGGGGAATCTTATTTGCTTGCTTACTCATTGCCAAATTAGGGGTAGTGAAGTAATTCTTGGTGATAATTCACATATTCATGTATATGAAAATGGAGGGATTTCTACAATTGGAGGCGTTCATCCCAGGACAGTGAAGAACAATGAAGATGGAACAATGGATGTTGATCTGATTGAAGCTGCAATTCGTGATTCTAGCTTTGAAATACTTTATCCAACCACTAGGCTCATCTGCTTAGAGAATTCACATGCACGGTAAGTATATAATATACTCTCATAGTAACAGTGGCGTAGCCATATACAGTGAAGGGTCATCGGAAAATTATAAATGTATATAGGTCAAAAATTACTTTTATAAATATATATTAAATCTAGAACACCCGTTACAAAATTTCTTGCTTCGCAGCTGCATAGTAAAACTGTTGTTGTGGCAACTTTTAATTTGGTGCATTATTTGGTTATGCGATCCGATTTTTTCTAGAAGTGTATCTTTGGTATGTTATTGTATTATTGGATCATACACAGTCAATGACGGATCCAAAATTTAAACTTTGTAGCTTCTTTATTGAGAAAATGAGTTTTGAAATGTATGTCTAACTTTATGTATATTTAGTTGTCACACGTATATACAAGGTTCGACCCAAAAGTACTAGGTTCTGCTTCATAGTTCTTACAATATCGTCTAATTGCTCAACAATCATTAATCTTTTTCTATAGCTTTATTCATTGACTCTTTAATAGTGCATGTTCTTAAAAAAAAAGGCAGTCCGGTGCTCTAAGCTCCCACTATGCATGTGATCCAGGAAATTAAGTGGCGGACCACAAGGGTTTATTGTAATGCAGCCTTACCCTACATTTCTACAAGAGGCTGTTTCCACAGCTCGAACCCGTGACCTTCTGGTCATATTGAAGCAACTTTACCAATTACGCCAAGGCTCCCCGTACAGTACATGTTCTTAACTGATAAGATTCTATGAATGCAGATCGGGAGGTAGATGCCTTACTGTAGAGTATACAGACAAAGTTGGAGAGTTAGCAAAGAAATATGGTCTGAAGCTGCATATTGATGGCGCTCGTATATTCAATGCATCAGTTGTAAGTATATCTTTTCTTGTTTGTTAAGTAACACCCTTTTGAATGTAGTTGGTCAGTACTGCTACCTTGAGTCAAATGGATCTGTATATGGTAGAGTGATTTAAACTGTATAGTTAATATCCATATGCTTTTGTTGTGATATTCATGTGGTTTTTACTGGACTTATCTGTCTTGTAGGCACTTGGTGTGCCCGTTCACAGGCTTGTACAAGCTGCTGATTCAGTTTCGGTAAGTTAAACGATATCAACAACAATAACAAACCCAGTGTAATCTCACAATAGGGGTCTGGGGAGGGTAGTATGTACGCAGCCTTACCCCTACCTTATGCAGGTAGATAAGCTGTTTCCAAAGATCTAAGTTAAACGATATCCAAAGATCTGAATGCACCTCTCTCTTCATTGTATATAGTTATTTCTGGTCCAATTTGAGCAAGGAAAAATACTACATTATGTCCTTAATAACATGATATCTATAGAAGAAACTAGAACCAGACTATGTGCTAGAATTGTATGAATAATGTAGCCTTTAAGGAACATTTGTCTCCAAGAGGAAGCAGCAACAACAACAACATACCCAGTGTAATCCCACAAGTGAGGTTTGGGGAGGGTACGTAATGTGTACGCACACCTTATCCCTACATTGTGAAGGTAGAAAGGTTGTTTTCGATAGGCCCTCGACTCAAGGGAACAATGACAAGGAAGCAATCAACTAGGAATAAGAATATTACTAATACTACTAATAAAACTAGGAGACACCCTCGACTACCCATCAATCTTCGACCCTAATTCCCGACCTCCACACCTTCCTATCCAGGAAGCCAAATATTTTGAAAAGTAGATCTTTGTAAAAACATTCTATGCTTTGTGATTGTAATGTATGACAAGTTTGTTAGTGTATATCGTTTTTTGCTCATTCAAGAATATGCGCAGGCATGCTTATCGAAAGGTCTTGGTGCTCCAGCTGGATCTGTGATTGTTGGTTCAAAGAGCTTCATTGCCCGGGTAGCTTATATATACTTACGTATATCATTGAACAAGTTAGTTGTTCCTTGCTGCAGGATTTGTCACCTAACTCAATATTTAATTTCCTCCATTTTGTAGGCAAAAATTCTGAGGAAGACTCTAGGTGGAGGAATGCGACAGATTGGTGTCTTGTGTACTGCTGCTTCTGTCGCTTTACAAGAAAATCTTGTTAAGTTGGAAGGAGACCACAGAAAGGCTAAAATTTTAGCAGGTAATTGTTTTCTCCATTTGGTAAGGTATAAAGGGCAGCCTGGTGCACTACGTTCCCGCTATGTGCGGGGTCCGGGGAAGGGTCGGACCGCAAGGGTCTAGTGTACGCAGCCTTACCCTGCATTTCTGCAAAAGGCCGTTTCCACAGCTTAAACATGTCACATGACAACAACTTTACCAGTTACGCCAAGGCTTCCCTTCCCATTTGATAAGGTTTATTACTTAAAAACTTTTATTCATCTGTCTAATGATTCCATTTACTTCTCAGAGGAACTAAACAAAATCAAAGGGCTAAAAGTTGATACTGCTACTGTAGATACCAACATTGTAAGTTGATTTTGATTTATCAACTCCTGATGCAATGCCAATGCAAAATAATTCAGCTCCTTCAGAAATATTATAACAAGATTCATTTTTTGTGATCAGGTATATTGTCATATACTAAAAGAGTCCAAGATCAATAGAACATATTTGTGTAAGATTTTGGAACAACATGGTATACTTGTACTACCAGAAGGGCCAATGAGGTGTGCTTGCCATTTCATTCTTTATATCTCTTTCCAAACATGTCTACTCTTTTACTTGATTGTTTATGCATGCTAAGCTATTTTCGAGTTTACCAACTAGTGAGAGATTTACAGGGCTGTCAAATGGGCGGGTTGAGTTGATTTTGGGCAGGTCAAAATCTAATTTGGGCTGAGATGGATTGGGTCAAGTTGGACTAAAATTTGAATCATGGCCCAACTCGACCAACTCTTACCAAGCTTTAATTATTGTGTACTGTTTTCTTATGAGTTGTTTAATTATCAAATAAGACTTTTTTTCTTTTGTTATGGTCATATATAACATATCAAGCAAAAAAAAATTAAGTTATTTTAGCAAAGTTACTCATGAATCAATTTGGGTTAAAAATCAGCCCAACTTTAGATGGATTGAAATGGATTGAGTCAAGATGGGCTGAATTCAACAAATGGGTGGGTCGATGACCAGCCCAACCCTGAACGGGTTGGACGGATCAAATGGATTTGGGCTCAAATTATCACCCCTAGAAATTCAAATATCTGCATATTTAAGAAATGATGACATGTGTGTACGCATAGTGACGTACACTAACGTGTCTACACGTGTGTACGCACAATGACATACATACAGGGGCGGATGTACCTTGATTCAAGCAGTGTCATCCGACACCGCTTGACCGATATTTTTTTACTAAATATAAGTATATCTAACAGATATGTAAAGTTGATATAAATAAAAGAGCGGAATAGCTTACAGGAAAAGATCGTAGCTTACCTGGTTGGGCGCTTCAATTTTGTCCTGAAGATCAGGAGTTCGATTCCTGGCTTTTCCCCTTATATTAAAAATGATAAAATTCAACACTTGAACCCTTGACCATTAGTGGTAACGGCGAACTAACAGTAGAATTGTAGTAATGTACTTAATTGTGTTTTATTCATATATTACAAATTGTGTTTTTAAATTTTTATATGATATCATTACAATAATTGATTCATTAGATCACGTCTTTAAATATCGACACCGCTTATAAAAAATTCTGCGTACGCCCCTGCATACATACATACTGTTACGCGGCGCCTTCTTGAGATTCCTTGGAAGGGCGACGTAAGGCTAGGCAACTGATGTCAGTGCAGTTGCTGTCCGCCAACTGAGGTCCCCTCCGTACGCTAGACGAGATTGTCAGTGCCGTACGGGAAAACCAATGTCAAGAGCAATTGAGAGAACAGAAATGAGAATTTAGAATGAAAGAAAGCTTGATTGCATTAATGAAAGCTATTACAGAAAAGCAACGCGGTGTCGAGGGGGAGAGACACCAGTACAGAGAATTGCTTGCTTGCTAGAAAGTTTTGATTGCTTGATCCCCCCTAATAGTACTTAAAAAAAATAATCCAAAGCTACAAGACTAGACTTGACTAAGCTAGAGAAACATAATGGAAGTACATGAAATAAAACTACTCTATATTTACAATGAAAATGACTTAGTTTTCTATAAGGCAGCAGCAGGTCCGTTGTCAGCAGCAGTGTCTTTGGCATCACGGTCTGCGCGCGCGGCGCTGTTGGCTTCTGCCTGCGGCTTGGCGCTGGCGAGGGATATCGGTGGGGCGACAGAGGCACCTGCGCGCTTGTCACTTGGCGCGGCCAAGACCGCGGGGGCCGTCCGTGGCGCTAGGCATTGGGAGGCTTGCTAGGACGCCACGGGGCGCGCCCAAGGGGTCATGGGGCATGGCTGGAAAGCCGCCCATGACATTCTCCCCCACCTGAGTTGGCGACGTCCTCGGCGCCTTCCTTGCAAAATAATCTTCAATGAGGCTCTTGTAGGCTTTGAGGTTTGTTCCCCTCTCCCAAGTATTCTCTTCTGCATCACAGCCCTGCCATTTCACCAAAAATTCTTGGTGATCTTTCCTTGAGGCATGAATCACTCTGTCATCAAGGATAGCTTCAACACGCCTTTTCCCGGTTGAATTGGGACCTCGAATACTGGGTATTGTGAGCTGGCTCCTTGAAGGATCCTCCGTGTCTTCCCGAAAAGGTTTCAGGAGACTGACATGGAAGACAGGATGAATTTTCCACCAAGCTGGGGTATCCACCCGGTATGCAACCTTCCCAATACGCTTCTCAATGGACAAGGGTCCAATGTATTTTTGCAATAGGCGAGGGTCATGGACCCCTGCAAATAAGTACCGCTTTGGAATTTTGACCATCACTTTGTCTCCTACTTGATATTCAACAAAGCGACGATTCTGATCAGCATGCCTCTTCATCCGCTTTTGGGCTTTGACAAGATAGCTCCGCACTATCTCCAAATTCCGCCTCCACTCTTTTGAGAAGCTGGTAGCTCGAGGAGATTTAGCTATGTTTGGTGCATTCACAGTGTGTGGGAGTAGTGGTTGCTGTCCGGTAACAATTTCAAAAGCGCTTTTGTTGGTACTAGAGCTCTTTTGTGAATTGAAACACAGTTGAGCAGCATCCAGAAGCTTCACCCAATTCTTCTGCGATCCGGTTACAAAGTGGCGGAGGTATTCCTCCAACATACCATTGAACCGCTCCGTCTGGCCATCAGATTGCGGATGAAAACTTGAGCTGTGACTCAATTTTGACCCAAGGCACTTGAAGAGTTGGGTCCAAAAGTTGCTAGTGAAGCGTGAGTCGCGGTCACTAACAATGTCTTTGGGCAGGCCCCAATATTTGACGACATGAGAGAAGAAGAGTCGAGCTGTATCTTCTGCTGATATATATTGTGGGGCTGCAATAAAGGTGGCATACTTAGAGAACCGGTCCACCACAACTAAGATGGTTGTGAGATCTCCGACCTTGGGCAATCCGGTGATGAAATCCAGGGAAACGCTTTCCCAAGGTCTCTTTGGGACAGCAAGTGGTTCCAAGAGTCCCGCTTGTGTCAAGCGG